GCATTAGTAATACTCAAACCTTGAACGGCTTTGTTCATGATAGGAAGAGTTAAATCCTGGAACAAAATAGAAGAAAGAGTTGATTAATAAAATCCAACGAGTTGCATTTTCTTCTTGTTTTGATTTCGAAGATTCTCACCAAATTGAGCATAGAAGCATGGCCATCCCAAACACAAAGTTTGGACCTACGACACTTGTCATGGGGCCACATGTCCAAAGTTAAACAAACGAAATTCTCATCAGTTTCCGCTATTGTTGTGGCTACATTTTGACTCAACTCGACTCTAGTAGTCACTAGACTCAACCACAATTGTACCCGTTGTAGCAATACGATTTTGTTAAACTAATGTCCAAAGTTAAACGAACAAAAATCAATACGGTTTTGTTTTCCATTATTGAATCAACTCCTGTCCAACAATTTAAAGAGCCTAAATGTAGAATTTTGTTGATAAAACGTAAGGATATCAAAGGATCTTCATCATAATTTTGACCAGCTGTCACGGTTGGTTTGTGATTTGATGTCCGAAGATATTGAGATATAATAAGTGTTAAACACTGTCATAAGCCCTTTTCTCTAGGACCAAGACCTATTCTCAAGGTCTTGCTAATATTTTTAGGCTTGTTAGTTTATCTTTAGGTTTAGCATATATAATGCTATTCTTTCTGCGGTTGAAAAATCAAGTTTTTGAGTGCAATATTGTATGTCTTGAGTGATTTTGGTGTTGTGAGTACATTTGTTCCGCTTTCGGCTCTCAACAAGTGGTATCAAAGCCTTATTGTGGTATTTTGGGGTATTGTGAAAGCTTGGGCCTCATCGACCATTAGACGTGCTCACAATCGTGTTTATTCTCTTGAAATTCAATTTTCAAGAATTGTGTTTTTGAGTTTCATCCAGATTAATTATTGCAAATGGCAGAACCATCACGACGTGGATCGAGAGTGTGGAGTTCCAATCTCGAAGTAGAGAAATTTGATGGAACCAATAATTTTGGTGTTTGGCGAGGCGAAGTTAGCGGTTTGCTGGTCATGCAAGACCTCGATGTTTCTCTCCAAGAGGAAATGCCTGAAGACATGACAGAAGCAGAATGGACGAAATTAAATCGACAATCCTGTGGAATTATTCGATCCTGTCTTGGCAAGGATCAGAAATATCCATTTATGAAGGTTACCATGGCGAAAGAATTATGGGACAAGCTTGAAGTGAAATATATGAAGAAGAGTGTGGAAAATAAACTCTATTTGAAGAAGAACTCTTCCGTTTTGACTACAAGGAAGGCATCTCAATGGCTAAGCATTTGGATGATTTTAACAAAATCATCACTGATTTGCTCAATCTTGATGTTAAGATTGATGACGAATACAAGGCGTTGTTGTTATTAAACTCTTTGCCGGAATCATAAGAGTTTTTAGTAACGACCCTACTACATGGAATCACTAATATTGATTTTGAAGATGTTTCAAATGCCTTAATAAACAATGAGATGCGAAAAAAGGAAAAGGAGACGTATCAAAGCTCTAGCTCAAATGTTCTCACTGCTCATGGAAGGACTTCTAATTGGAAAAAGAACGAATGTGGAGAGTCTCGATTAAAGTCGAGAGGTAGATCTGACAATTGGAGAAAACTTGATAAAAATGAGTGTGCATATTGTCGACAAAAAGGTCATTGGAAAAAGGATTGTTCGATCTTAAAAGAGAAGGGGTCGAAGTCCAATGTGGTTAGAGATGACGACACTGATACAGATGATGCCTTGACAATCTCCCTATCAGTCAGTCAGCCAAACCAGTAAATGGATTCTTGATTCTGGGTGCTCCTATCATATGTGTCCCAACAAAGAGATGTTTTTGGACTTCAAAAAGTTCAATGGTGGAGTTGTCTATATGGGCAATGATAGTACTTGCAAGATAATGGGAATCGACTCAGTACAAATCAAGATGTTTCATGGGGTTATACGAAAACTCAAAGAGGTGAGGTATGTCCCTGACTTGAAGAAAAATTTGATCTCACTTAGCGTTTTGGATGCGAGTGGTTATCGCATCATTTTGGAAGGAGGGAATTTGAAAGTAGCTCGTGGAGCTTTGGTGGCAATTACAGGAACTAGAAGAGGTAGCATATACTACCTCAACGGAACCACAATAATTGGGCATGCTGCTGTGGCAAGTTCGAAAGAACAAGACATATCGAAATTATGGCACATGCGACTCGGGAATGCTGGTGGGAAGGCGCTTCAGACACTGGTGAACCAAGGAGTCCTTAAGGGTGCCACAACTGGATGAATTGATTTCTGTGAACCTTGTATATTTGGTAAACAAAAAAAATGTGAAGTTTGGTACAGCTATACACGAAACAAAGGGCATTTTGGATTATGTTCACACTGATGTATGGGATTTCACAAAGAATGTCTCATTGGGAGGAAAGAGGTGGTTCGTCACCTTTATTGATGACTACTCGAAGAGAGTTTGGATGTATCCCATGAGGCACAAAAACGAGGTTCTCCAAATCTTCCTAGAGTGGAAGAAAATGGTAGAGAATCAGACGGACAGGAAAATCAAAAGGTTGAGATCAGACAACGGGGGAGAATATACTTATGATCCATTCCTTAAAGTATGCCGAAATGAAGGGATCGTTCGACACTTCACTGTTCCTGGTAAGCCACAACAAAATGGAGTTGCTGAGAGAATGAACCAGACATTAACAGAGAAGGTTCGATGCATATTGTCTCAAGCAGGATTGAGTAAAGCATTTTGGGCTGAGGCTCTCAGTTATGCAGTTCACTTGGTGAATCGTTTACTTGTTTCTGGAAACGGTGGGAGAACTCCGCTTGAGGTATGGTCAGGTAGTCCTGTTAGTGATTATGATAAATTGCATGTGTTTGGGTGTCCTGCTTATTATCATGTGACAGACTCAAAGCTGGATCCTAGAGCAAAAAAAGCCAAGTTTATGGGCTTTAGCAAAGGTGTGAAGGGCTATAGGTTATGGTGTCCAGAAACAAGTAAGATTGTTAATAGTCGAGATGTGACATTCGATGAGTCTGGAATATTTTTGCAGAAAATTGAAAATAATGACGAGACATTGAAGCAGGTGGAGAAGGTGGTGTTCTCTCCTGATGTGGTTGCTCCTACTGAAGAACCTATTGATCAGGTAAATAATAACTTTGATGTCTTAGAACAGAAAGAGCAAAGTCTTGAGGAGCAAAGCCTGAAAGAGTGGAGGAACCTGAGTCAATCGCCAAGAATAGACCACGAAGGGTAATTCGAAAACCTGCAAGGTTTGATGACACGATAGCATATGCTTTCTCTTTGATTGATGGAGTTCCTAACAGTTACAAAGATGCTATTCAGAGCCCGGATAGCTTACACTAGCAAGAGACTGTGAATCAGGAGATAGCATCATTGGAGATAAATCAAACTTGGGATTTGGTACAACTTCCAAAAGGTAAGAAGGAAATTGGTTGTAAATGGGGTTTTGCAAAAAAGGAAGACCCTTTTGGTATACGTTATAAGGCTCGACTTGTGGCTAAAGGCTACAATGAAATTTTCTCACTTGTGGTAAAACATTCTTCGATTCGAATTTTGTTGGCTTTGGTTGCTCAATTTAATCTTCAGCTTGCACAACTCGATGTAAAAATTGCCTTTTTGCATGGAGATTTGGAAGAAGAAATATATATGGCGCAACCAGTTGGTTTCCGAGTAGTTGGACAGCAACATTTAGTATGCAGATTGAAGAAATCTTTGTATGGGCTTAAGCAATCCCCTCGCCAATGGTATAAAAGGTTTGATCATTTCATGGTAGAGCATATGTATACTCATAGTCAATTTGACCATTGTGTGTATTATCGATGTCCCGCATGCGCCAACGAAACGGGCAAGGCTCCATGCACAGTCAGTGTGCGGGCAGAACCCCACTTCGAAACCCAGCAAATGCAACATACCCTCGAATTATGTGGAAGCAACACGTGGAGCTTAAGAAACGATTAGGGGCAACTCGAGTCAGTCACGGGTTATTGGGTTTGACCGCGGGTCGACAGAATGGGGCTTGAATCGGGTTGGGTCTGGGTGACTCGTCTCAACAGATTGTCCGACACGTTTATCAAGAAGTAGGACGATATGTTAGGATTGCACAACAACATACACTCGATCTAGATGAATACAACGAACAAGATAGGGAAGAATATTGAATAGAGGTTTATAGTGATGACTTCCAGTATCGCATAAATATATCTTTAAATCACTGCCTAAAGAGTATGTATATGGTTCAGTTTAATTTATATAACTTTATCCAATACAGTCATCTACTATATATTAACTATCGTCTATATATATATATATATAGTTTTACCATACATTTACTATAAATATTGTTTACTATTTATGACCCTTTACTATACTTGACCATTTATTGCATATGTACTATGTATAAGCACTGGAGTAACCTATAAATAATCCGTAGTAGACTCCACAACCTAACACGATACATGTCCTTGGTTGATTCAGACGCGTTCTCCGACCGACTTCTTGACATGTTCCTGCAACTTATTCGTCGTTTGCCTGCACAAGCCCATAATCAAGGGAGTGCAATTTTTTAGGCGTCCCTGAGTACTTTTCAGTCATCAAATTGAGATTTATCATCTAAGACACCTAATAAAATTCTACAAGTTTGAAATTAAAGAAAACATTTTGTACCACTGGACTCAGATATAACACATTACCACGTGTCATAAATGATCCGTTTATGTGTTTAACACGAATTTTGGATATATAGTATATCATATAAGAATCCAAGGCCAAAACTTAATGTTCGGATACATCGTATTGTCAACATGATATAAATGTAAGAACAATATTGAGAAGTGCATAAATACAAGATGCATTCAATACTGTGTCTTTTCTTTTAAAAAATTATTTTTGAGACTACAGGACTTTGCATCTAAAATATTATTAGTTGCTTCGAGGATTTGAAAGCACAAAGAGAGTGGGCTTAAAAGAAATGAGCGGCAACAAAATTAGTTGCATGCTGGAGCTACAAAGTGAGGGACGACAATGAAAGCAATGGACCAACCAGCAATATGTATAGAAGAGTTGCTCTGACGGTAGACAGGTATAAGATTTGGTATGTCTCCCTCTTTGGTAGTCTCCAATGGATTTCCATTTAAAAGCACCGTGGAACTTCTAACTAGACCATCTTTCGGAGTCAAATGGTATTCCTCTCTTGGTGAATCTATTTTCACTCTTTGACCTTTTGAAGCGTTTCTCTTACCTGAACTCAAGTTGATGTTGTTTTCAAGGTCAATTATAAAGTCGGTTGCATTGCTCAAATTGATGAAAAGCAAGGTTACACCAGACTACATAAAATGATAAATTAGGATCAATAAATGGTATCAAATAAAGTTTTAATTTATATAAATCTAAAAGCAACTTCTTACTCTTCCTCTCGAGCAATGGGCATAGCTACGAAGGTCAGAAGAGACATTATTGTCAATTTTGAGAACACGGGGTCCCATGAGTCGATGAAAGAGAAGTGCACTAATAAAAAAAAAAAGAAAATATCGAACTTTGTTTAAAGATTAGATGATTTGAAAACGGGAGAAGAAGTGATATAATTTTTATAAATTAGAAAGGTTTACCCATAGTAATCTGGCGTAGGAAGTAAAGTTGAGGATTTGATGACACCATAGAATCCACCGATCAAAGTCTGTCGACAATATACTTTTGTATTGTACATTGAAGCCATCCCGAGCTGATCCAAGTACCTAATGCATTCAATTCATTCTGTAAGTACTCGAGCATTGTTCTTTTCTTCATGTTTAAGTGGAGACAAATCAAATATAGAGGGAAAAAAAGTCTAAATAGATTTGATTACCAAAAACTATTGATAAATGTATAAGAAATATGAGGACTGCC